CTATATTTTATCTCAAACATGATAAAAGTGTAGTCAAATAATATGTGCAAAGTACCCAAAAACTCATATTTTTGGACTACCATCAACACCCCACACTTAAACCACTGCTCGTCCTCGAGCAATACAACTACACTTCAAATAAATACAACGACATTCTCATCAAACATCCTCCCTAACTCATCATGCCAAGAATGTTTAAAGCATATTAAATACCATACCGTAACATCCTTGACTCAAGACTCGACTTAAATACACCACACATTTTCTTCAAAAATCTGCTCACTTTCTCTAACATAGAAGCCATAGACATTACCTTTCCTTCACAGGTCATGTGCCCTCACACAATCAATAGAGAATAGTTTCACACACAATAAAGTTCAAGAACAATTAAGAACTCAAGATAGAAAGAATTAACTCACTCTCAGAAATAAAATTCATGTGCCACAGAAGACGTACCATAGGCTTGCCTGTAGTGTAATACTCTACTAACTCAAGCTTATTCAGTCAAAGATCAAGTAGGACTTTAATTGGTTGTAATGTAATCTACGAGACGGGTAGGATATAGTGACTACACCTCCTGAGCACTTTAATACATATACATTAGCAATTTAAACCTCACACTTGTGTTGAACTATACCCCAACCTTCATTCATAATAGCTTCAAGCTCCCGATATCTTTAAGCACATACAAGGTAAGAATTACCACTAGCAAGTAATAAATTGTTTTTCTTTTCTAAGTTCTGATATCAAACTCTTGTTTTTTCAATTCTCTGCATGTGGCTCTCAGAAATTTTTAAGCCGTGTACCTTTCTCCTTTTTCTATAGTTCTACTCAAAACACGACTGTACCTCACTTAGCTTTTACAAGCTCATAAGAAAATCAAGTACTCACGAGGGGTAAAAGGTTCAAACAGATAGACAATTCAAACAAAGGGGTCAAGCTTGTAGTGTGGTTATCAAAGAAATAGGATTACAGACTCAACGAGGCTAACTAAGATACACATTAATTTGGTGGGTAAAAGCATATATCTGGCTCAACAAAGAAATGTCTATATTACTTCCTAGACTGAACAAGACTACTATTTCACTTTTCAAACACGCGGGGCAAGTTCTTGACATCAACTAACATGCACAAAATATCACAAAACTGCACACGCATATTGGCACATAACTCACTTAGGATAAGATCTATCCCGTCTCTCTAGTCAAAGTAGTTAAGCAGAGTCGAGATCATACAAATTAAGGTACTTATCTATGAGTCAAGAACTGAGCCTAGGCGTCACAACTAAGGCACTTACTACTCTCAAGGCAAAACAACGTCAAGAAAAGTCATCTCCATTTAATACACGGCACAAGACTTTATTATTCCTAATAAAAGAAAAATTAACTATACCTGCTTCAAATAAAACCCTTGAAAAAGGACCACGGCATAAAGAAAAACCAAGGGGGATTTTCTTCGACTTTAATCCCTCACGAAGACAACCGAGGAGATTCATCGTTGGGAAAAGTCAAAAATTTTCCAATCAAAAGAATTACAAGACACACATATGCATATATATATTCCCCACCCCACACTTTAAATCGTGTCATGTCCCAATGACACACAATTAAAAAGCATAAGGTAAATACAACTTCCCTAAACATCTAGTCGGGGTTTGAGTCGAAGTTCGGCTCCATCTCTCGTGCCCGAACTAATGCACACATCCAGGTAGACAACTTCTTCTCGGCCTTCTTTGGGTACAACCCACACTTATCTTTCTCTCTCATCGCAACCTTCTCTTTCACACCCTTCACTTTCCATTCAACACTCGCAGCTGGTTTGTCCTTTTGTTCCCCCTTTGCTACATCTATCTGGAAAGTCACAGTTTCCTCACCTACTCTAAGCATGAGTTTTCTTTATTGTATATCTAATATATCTCTACCCGTCGCTAAGAATGGTATTCCTAGGATGAGGGGAACCTCCTTGTTCTCTTCCATATTAACCACTATGAAATCCACAGGAAATACGAACATATCCACCCGAACTAACACATCTTCCATTATTGATGTTTGATTAAAAATCCACTCGAGCTTAATAATATTGTTTATATATGTAGGAGTCAATTGAAAGTGATTTAAAAGGTTTGCATGCAAATTGACATCAAAATGGAAGAACTTGGAGGAAGTATAAGTTTGGTGCCCAGGTTGGTGCCAGGCACCAACCAAAATGCCATTGACAGAAGTGGAAAAAGTTTGATGTCCAGGTTGGCGCCAGGCGCCGAGCAAGACGCCAAAGGGCCGATTTTGTCCTAATTCGGCTTGGACTTGGGATTTCAACCCTACACATCCCCAGCATGTATAAAAGGGGTTCTAACCCTATTTTTGAGGGGAGCTAACATATTTTGGATCAAGGGAGAGCACGGAGCCACCGTGGAGGCCGGAATTCATCAGATTCCATCTTTCTTCCATCAAACTTAGTAATCTTTATATTTTTGGATGATTTATTATTTTGCTACCATGTCTATATGGAGCTAAACTTCACGTTTTAGGGTTGTGGTTGTCATGAATATTGAAATTTATTAATTACATCACCGTTAATTTGAGTTATCATTGTTGGTTATTTCTCTAATTCTGTGCATAATTGCTTAATTATTTGGCCAGCAGTTGAGTTCTTTTTACTATTTATGCTATACTTGGGAAAGACGTGTTTAGATTAGAGTAGAATTTGAGAGAGCTTGTTTCTGAACCCGTGGCTCGGGAAAAAATTTCGCGGTTGGGATAGGAGTATACCTAACAGTCTTGCTTAGTTGAATACCATTATATTCGTTCATGATAGACTCAATACCATAGGAATATAGGATTGATATATTGTGGATAGGCGAATAGTATTGCGGGAACATGCTATTCATATAAATGATCCGGTCAACTAGCAATCATAGATAATTCAGATTAGCAGGTGTAATTACAAAATCAATAGGATTGACAAACCGACCACAACCCTAGAATCTTCATCTCCTCTGATTAAAAATATCATCATACACATTTGCATTCTTGATAAATTAGTCGTTACTTGTTTAATTTCTGCAATATTAGATTAGTAGAAAAACAACACTCTTGATTATCTTGGACAGTAAATTAATTTTAGTTTGCTTAGTTAACAATTACTCTAAGTCTATGTGGGTTCAACTACTGACTTTCGAGTCTCTTTATTACTTGACGACCACGTATACTTGCGTTTACTTGGGGAACTAAAAAGTTTTTGGTGCCATTGCCGGTAACTTAGTTATTGATTATTTATTTAAGTTAAGCTTTTGTTCGTTATTTGTTAATGTTTTAATTTTTAGTTTTCTTTATTTATGATAACGTAGGCTCTTCTCTTGAATGTAGATGAGTAGAAGTGCGAACAACCTCCTTCTTCTTAATCCTGAAATAGAACGAACACTTCACATGGTAAGGAGGGAAGTCGAAGCTAGAACTAGAACAGAAGGAGAGTTGGTCATCGTAGTTCAACCTCAATCACTTGAGATGGCATGTAACGAAGAGCGACCAGTGATCGAGGCCGCAAGGCCTAATCTTGCTAATATGACTCAGGCTATAGTGAAGCCTGATATCATGGGTCACTTTGAGCTCAACCAGTACATGGTACAACTGATTCAATCCACAGGGCAGTATATGGGTCTATCTCATGAAGATCCGCAACGACACATTCAGAATATTTTGAAAATTATGAATACTTATAATTATCCGAATATTTCCAAAGACTACGTCAGACTGACGCTGTTTCCCTTTTCACTACTAGGGGAAGCCAAAGAATAGTTGCAGAAGGAGCCCGCAAACTTGATCCATAATTGGGATGATCTAACACGAAAATTCTTAATCAAGTTTTTTCCCACTAAGAAGACAAAGTCACTGAGGAGCCAGATTCTTGGGTTTCAACAACGATATGGCGATACTCTTCGTCAAGCTTGGGAATGATACAAGAAGCTACTCAGAGACTGCCCACATCATTGTCAAACTAATGAGGTGTTGGGTCACACTTTCCTTGATGGGTTGGATGAGACATCAAATATAAATCTTGACTCAGTATGTAGGGGTAGTTGTATGGCTAGACCATATAGTGAAATCCAGATCATGCTAAACAATTTCACTGCTAATGATAATAATTGGCAAGTAGATGGGGAACCACGAAGAGCACTTAAACAAAAGGCAGCAGGTGTAATTGAGCTTGATGATTTCTCAGCCATGAGGGCAAATATAGCGAGATTAGCAAATCAGATAAATAAAATGACAGTGCACCATGCACAACAGATGCAACATATGCAGCATATGTCTACTTGCTACGAGTTATGTGGTAAAGGTCACACAAGTGACTTATGCCCCGTGAATCCTGAATCCATCTACTATGTGGGACAACAAGCTAGAGGGTTGATGAATCAAAATTCTCAATATGGTACCATATACAATCCGAACTGGAGGAATCATCCTAACTTATCTTGGGGTGGAAATCAGAGTAACAGGCCTCAAGCTAATTACAATCAGCCACCTAAACCCCCACAACAAACAGAGGAGAGTTTGACTGATATGATGAAAAAGCTCTTGATAGACAATCAAAAAGTTATGGCTGAGAATCAACAAGTTAGGGCTGAGAATCAACAATTGAGCACAGAGTTCAGAAATCTAGAGAGGCAGTTTGGTAAAATGGCTAACAATCAGAATACTAGACCTGCTGGAGCTATCCCAAGTGATACAAAGAAAAATCTTCAAGTCAATGCAGTGACGTTGAGAAATGGGAAAGAGTTGGTAGAAGTGCCTAAGAAGAAAAAGTAGTCGTCTGGGATCAAAGAAGAAAGAATGCCAAAACTTGTAGAGGTAGATGAGAGAAACAAGACAGAGTCTAAGCATATATCAGAGAGGGTGCCACCCCCTTTTCCTTAAAGATTGAAAAAGAAAAATGATGACCACATGTTTCACAAATTTCTAGATATACTGAAGTAGATACACTTGAACACCCCTTTAGTGGATATGCTCCGTGATGTCCCAAAATATGCAAAATATATTAAGGATATAGTGGAAAATAAAAGGAGGTTAACTGAGTTTGAGACCATCGCACTTACTGAGGAGTGCACTTCCAGGATTCAACATAAGCTTCCACAAAAGCTTAAGGATCCGGGTAGTTTTACCATCCTCGTGAGGATTGGTGAAATTGATGTGGGTAGAGCCTTGTGTGATTTGGGTGCAAGTATCAATTTGATGTCGTTGTCAGTATTCAAACAATTTGGCTTAGGAGCTCCGAGACCCACCACGGTGATGCTACAGTTAACTGATACATCTTATGTTTATCTTGAGGGGGTAATTGAGGACGTCTTGCTGCAGATTGGGAAGTTTATTTTCCCTGCAGATTTTATCATCCTGGACTACGAGGCTGATGAGTTAGTTCCTATCATCTTGGGACGACCTCTCTTGGCCACTAGAGATACAATTATCAAAGTCCGAGAAGGTAATATGATCATGAGAGTGGATAATGAAGAAGCAGTCTTCAATATATATCGAGCCATTCAATTACCTCTTGATTACGAGGATCTGGCCATGATTTATGTGGTGGAGATAAATGAACCAGCCATAGAGCCAAGTGCATTTAAAGAAGATGCACCAGATAAGGCATTGATATTGTTCAATTTCTTGGAACTTGACGAAGAGGTTGAGGAGATGTTGCAAATTCTGGATGCTTCTTGTGAATACATAAGAGAAAGATCCCAATTTGAGCCTCTGAATAGGCCAATCGGTCCGCCCCCTAAACCCTCAGTTGAGGAGGCCCCAAAACTAGAACTTAAACCCTTACCATCTAATATTCATTATGCATATTTGGGAAGTTTTAACACTTTACCTGTGATTGTTTCTTCTCATTTGTCTAACTTGTAGGAAGAAAAGCTATTAAGGGTGCTGAGGGAGCACAAGCATGCTATTGGTTGGACAATGTCTGACATAAAGGGTATTAGCCCTATATTTTGCATGCACAAAATACTCATGAAGGAGGGACACAAGCCTAGCGTGAAAAATCAACGCCGCCTAAATCTAATCATGAAAGAGGTGGTAAGAAAAGAAGTGATTAAGTTGCTCGATGCAAGCATAGTATTTCTTATCTCCGATAGTAAATGGTAAGCCATGTCCAATATGTACCTAAAAAGGGGGGTATGACTGTTGTAGTGAATGAACAAAATGAATTAAGCCCAACCAGGACTGTGACTCGTTAGCGAATATACAGAGATTATAGGAAGATGAATAATGCTACACGCAAAGATCACTTCCCTCTCCCTTTCATTGATCAAATGCTTGATAGGTTAGCCGGATAAGAATACTATTGTTGCCTTGACGGCTATTCGGGGTATAACCAGATTGCTATTGCCCGGAAGATCAAGAAAAGACCACTTTTACATGCCTTTATGGAACTTATGCATTTAAGAGAATGCCATTCGGGTTATGTAATGCACCAGCGACTTTTCAAAGGTGTATGATGGCTATTTTCACCGATATAGTGGAACGGTTTGTGAAGGTCTTTATGGATGATTTTTCTGTGTTTGGTCCTTCCTTTGATGAATGCTTGACCAATCTTGCTAAAGTGCTTGCTAGGTGCGAGGAGACTAATCTGGTACTGAATTGGGAAAAGTGCTATTTTATGGTACGTGAAGGTATAGTGCTGGGGCACAAGGTGTCCAAAGATGGACTGGAAGTTGACAAGGCTAAGGTGGAAGCAATTGAAAAGTTTCCACCACCAATTTCAGTGAAAGGAGTTAGGTGTTTTCTGGGACATGTAGGTTTTTATCGCCAATTTATAAAGGATTTCTCAAAAATTTCCTCTACTTTGTGCAGGTTGTTAGAGAAGGATGTGCCATTCAAGTTTGACGATGCTTGTATGAAAGCATTCGAGGAGCTGAAAAAGAAGTTAGTGAGTGCACCAATCATAGTGGCTCCTGACTGGAACGAGCCATTCGAGCTGATGTGTGACGCTAGTGATGGTGCAATTGGGGCCGTATTGGGCCACAGGAGGAGCAAAATATTTCACTCTATTTACTACGCAAGCAATACTCTCACTCCTGCTAAAACAAATTATACTGTGACAGAAAAGGAGTTGCTTGTTGTAGTGTGGGCGTTTGATAAATTTCGAGCCTATTTGGTTGGCACCAAAGTCATCGTCTACACAGACCATGCAACCATCAGGTATTTTTTCGAAAAGAAAGATGCTAAACCAAGGCTAATCCGTTGGGTTTTACTCTTGCGGGAATTTGACTTGGAGATCCAAGACCGTAAAGGAACATAGAATCAAGTAGCAGATTATGTGTCCAGGTTAGAAACTCGGAATCATGTAGCTAAGGGAGATGTCATCCAGGAAACCTTCCCAGATGAGCAATTGTTGGTCCTTACTGCCGGGGAGGTGCCATGGTATGCAGATTTTGTAAACTATCTAGCAAGTGGAGAAATGCTGCCTGACCTTGAACCTCATGCTAAAAAGAAGTTCTTGCGAGATGTGAGATCATATGTGTGGGATGAGCTGTTTCTGTTCAAATCTTATAACGATCAGTTAATGAGAAGATGTGTGCCCGAATCTGAAATAAATGTTATCTTACATGACTGTCATGCATCGCCTTATGGTGGTCATCATGTGGGTGACAAAATGGCAGCCGAGGTGTTGCAATCGGGTTTCTATTGTCCTAGGTTGTTTAAAGATGTCCATGAGTTCGTGAGAAGGTGTGATAGGTGCCAAAGAACAGGAACAATTACGAAAAGACATGAGATGCCATTGCATGGCATTATGGAGGTTGAAATTTTTGATGTGTGGGGAATTGATTTTATGGGTCTTTTTTCCTCGACCAATGGGTGTAGGTATATTTTGGTGGCCGTTGACTATGTGTCGAAGTGGATGGAGGCCATTTCTCTTCCTACCAATTATGCCAAGGTTGTGGTTAACTTTGTGAAAAAGCATATCTTTACAAGGTTCGACACTCCGAGAGTCATGATAAGTGATGGGGGCACCCATTTCTGTAACAAGCTATTGGACAATGTCTTAGCGAAATACGGGGTCAAACATAAGGTTCAACCGCCTACCATCCTCAGACTAGTGGACAAGTTGAAGTGTCAAATAGAGAGATAAAACAGATTCTGCAGAAGACGGTTAGTGCAAGTAGGAAAGATTGGGCTGCAAAGCTTGATGATGCTTTATGGGCATACAGGCTCGCCTACAAAACTACAATCGGAGCCTCCCCTTACAAGTTAGTTTATGGGAAGGCATGCCATTTACTGGTGGAACTTGAGCACATGGCCGATTGGGCGATAAAGAAGCTGAACTTTGATGCAGAATTAGCGGGTGAAAAACGGTTGATGCAATTGAACGAGCTTGATGAGTTTCACTTGCATACGTATTAGAATGCCAAGTTATATAAAGAAAAGACCAAGCGCTAGCATGATAAGAATATCCACAATCGCGAGTTCGAATCGGGCCATTTGGTTCTCTTGTTCAATTCGAGGTTGAGACTCTTTCTGGGGAAGCTCAAATCGAGATGGTCGGGCCCGTTTGAGATAGTGAGAGTCACTCCACATGGTGCAATTGAGTTGCACGTCGTAGGTGGTGAGAGAACATTCTTAGTGAACAGACAAAGAGTAAAGAACTATTATGGAGGTGACTTTGATCGACATAAGTCGAAGGTGTTACTTGCCAATGATTAGAGGAGATTCTCCGTCGTGCCGCGACGTTAAATCAGGTGCTTGTTGGGAGGCAACCCAACTTTACTGCTTTCTTTTATTTTTGTTGTTATTGTATTATTTTTGTAGTGTTTGTTTTTACTTTGTAGGATTATAAGCATAGGAAGCAAAGCCATTGGAAGAGTACAAAAGTGAGCTAGATGGTGAGAACTAAGTGTGGGGTGCCCACACAAAGGACCATGCTTGGGGGAAGTCTGAGTACCTCGTGAGCCGTGGTTGCTTCGGCCTTTAGCCTTTAAGGGAGTTTCTTGTCCATCCTCGTTATTATTTTGATTTATTTGTGCACTAGGGACATTGCACTCTTTTATGTATATGGTGGGAGAATTCCTCTAGATAATTAGTAGTAGTATATTAGTAAAAATGTTAACTTCTTATTTTGATTTTAGCTTCTTATTTTTGTTTTCGTAGTTATGTAGTATTTAGTAGCTTAATTGTTTTTTTAAATGTGGAAAATAAGAAAAATTGAAAAAAAAAGAAAAATAAATTGGACTTTTCCCGACGATGGATCTCCTAGACAGTTTTCTTGAGGGATTAAAGTCTAAACAAAAATTTAAAAATAAGTCTTTTAGTTTTCTTTAGGTAGTAATAATACCCCGTGGTTTTTCTTTGTACCTCGGTTCTTTTTCATGAGATATAGTTTGAACCGGGTAGTAGTTTTTTCTTTTATTTTATTTTTTTAGAGTTGGACTTAGGAAAAAAATGGAGGAAGAAAGATGAGATTTCTAGGCGCCCTTGACTTGTTTGATAGTAGCATATTTAGGCTTTGGCATGTGTAGTATCTTCCCTATGTGCTAATATTGCTTATGATGCCTTGGTTATTTGGATGGCATGTTTTGTGATGCCTATGTCTCATTTTCTTGACTTATGTTCACTTTGTGCTTAATACTTAATATCTTGTGGCTCTGTGAATACTTGCATTAATTTGAGAGTCGGAATGAGACCGTCCTTAGTGAGTCATGTGCCATGTGTGAAGTGAGATTTTTTTGTAGTCCATGTGATAGTACTTGTGTTTAGAACTTGCCCTGTATGTGAGTCGAAGCGAATGTTTAGGTGAGGCTCGGTTTGAAAAATGATTTTAGGCTTTCTTTGATATTTTCGAGCGTTATTGCTATCACAAATAAAATCTATCTCTAGTTAACCATTTTTAGCCTATAGCCTTTTATTTGGCACCCATATTACAAGCCTATATCCCTTTTTGTTCTTAATTGATATTGTTTTGATCCTTTTGCCTCTTAAAGCACTTTAATTGTGAAATGAGCGCTAAACGAAGTAAGGAGGGAATTTGGGAGGCTTTCGAGTGGAACTAATGAAAGAAAGGAAGGAGCACTTGTTTTGTAAAAGAATACACCACTAGCGAAAATTGTAAAGAAAAACAAATCTGAAAAAATGAGAAGGAAAAATTTAGATGAATAAATTGATATCTTGTTCTTGCTAGTGGGTATAAAGTAAAATAGTGCCTAAAGAAAGAGGGAACGTTGTTAGGGGTGATTTTAGTTGTGAAATCGCAGTTGGGATTGAAGCATATGCGCTTACAGTTGATTATGAGATGTGTTAAAGTGCTTAGGAGGGTGAACCACTATTCTAAAAAAAATAATCCTACCCGTCCCTTAGCCCATATTACAACCATAAAAAAGTCCTAATTGATTTTAGATCGAACGAGCCAACATTAGTAGAGATTTACATTAAGGGCAAGCCTATGGTATCAATTGCACACATGTGACTTCTTTTGTGAGAGTGAGCGATTTTTTTTGATTTATATGAGTCCTTAAAATATATTTGAGCATTAGATTTGGATGTATGGATTCAACTTACTCTCTTGTTCTTGTTGTGGGGGAATATTATTTCATGAGGGATAGGTTATATTATCAGACTTCTCTATGATGTTGGGTGTTCGGGCCATGAGTGCATTATGATATTGAGTCAGTTATTGAGGCTAAGACTGTTATGAGCATGTTGTCTTTGTTGTGAATATTTTCAAAGTATGGCAAAAGTTATAGGGAAGTGTATTCTTAATGCATATGCTACAGTTTAATTGTTGCTATCAACCATGGTCATTGGTGTTGTGTGCCTGAAATGTGTAATTATAAAGTGCTCAAGAATAGTGTTAATTGTTGGTTGCTCGAGGATGAGCCAGAGTTTAAATGTGGGGTGGTGATGTTTGGCTA